CAGCTATTTTTTTTGGTTGCAGCCGTCATTGTTGTTTGGCGGGTCCGGGCTGGGGATTCGAACCCACCACCTTAGGTGTACGTGGCTGGCGCCTTAGCCCGGTGAGCTATAGGCGCCGAGCCCGTTTTGTTTTTTAAAAGAGACACAGACCACATATTGAGAAGGCAAATGTTGACTGACACTTAGAAAAAGAAATACAATAAAGACTGTTACTTTTGAAATACCAATATTAAAGGATTTTTTAAATTATATGGCAAAATTGGCTTTGATATTTCCAGAGCTTGTGTTTTTCTTTACATGATTTTCTATTGTGGGAGAAAGGAAGAGAAGTGTAGAGTAAAGCATAAGACTTGTTGCTTTCATTATCTTTAGAATTTCATTAGCATGAACGCTAATTCTGCATGGTCAACAAAAGAGTTTTGGAAGCTGAAAGTATTACAGCAATTACAGTTTGGTTTTGGAGAGTTATTAGAAATAGCTTAAGAGACAGGCAGTACTGTTTTAGTTAAGATGTGAGAAAGTGATCACTGTTACCATTCTAGAACATTTAAGGAACATTAAAATTCTTAAGCTTAGTTTTTATTCTCATCTAGAGAAAGTCTTCAGTATAATGAGTTAAATGACCAGTGCCATATATTTTCTTAATCTCTTAGTACCTTTTGTAGATCAGACATGCCTTCCTTCTAAGTATTTCATTGTCTGCCTTAGAATCTTGAAGCTTTGGAAAAAAAAAGAGAGCTTTTAGGGTGGGCAGAAGGTAGTTAACTTAGGATATTTCAAGCTTCTCCCCAAAATAGGAAAAGATTACAGGAAACACTGACTTATTGGGGATTGAGGGCTACTAAAAAAGAAAATGAGAAAAATCTCAGGATTCATTTTTCTTTGTCTTTATCAGATTTTTAACATACAGCATTTATTCTTTATCCTGAGATCTTTTAAGGAGTAAATACCTGGATAACAATATGAATGAGGGATGAGTCTTAGGGATCTATAAGCTGAAATGAGTATCCCCAAATAACTGACAGGTGGCTACTGTATGTTACTGTTATAAGTAAACTGAAACGGAGAGATGTTGAGGTGCATGATCACTGCTGGTGAAATAAGGTTTTGGAAGCTTGTTGCTGTGAGAGAGGCCTGAACTAGTAACCTATTTCTGGTGCTTTTAAGGGCTAATAACTGTAATGAGTTTAGGTGATGTTTTCTTAAAGGAGAGTTCTTGATCGTCACCACATCAATCAAATGCTGACTTGTGTTGTTTAACTATATTAACTGCTGTCATTCAAAGAATTTCTTACAGGTTTAGAATTTCTAAGAAGTTTTCAAGTGTTTCGTATTCATTTTTGTTTTTACCCAGTATCTTTTCTTCCCATCTGTTAAGATTTCAGAAATTGAGTGTACTGTCTTTGGTGCCCTATAACTTTTTAAATTTATACAAGTACACCTGCTTTCTACATCCTTTGTGCCTGGGCTTTCATTTCAGAAAAATGTCCAGCAAGACAACAGTGAAGCTGGAACACAGCCCCAGGTACAAACTGATGGTCAACAAACCTCACAGTCTCCCCCTTCACCTGAACTTACCTCAGAAGAAAACAAAATCCCAGATGCTGACAAAGTGAGTGATTCTTCTAGTTCATTGCATTAGACAATGTTGCAACATATAATCATTAATGATACCATTGAATCTGCGGTTTCAAGAGCAAGCACCAAGTGATTTCATTCTGTGTAGGAGTTTTTTCTATAAATTTTCTTTGTATTTTCAATTAAAGCACATTTAGAGGTACTCAAGTGCAACAAGGGAATTGAATGTCCTGCTTTAGACCTGAAAGCTTCTCTTGATGAACTTCCACTCCAAGTAACAAGAGACTAATGCATACATAGCATTTGTTATCCGTTAAAGGCAAAGGTATTCATTAATACCAGGGGTGGAAATAGATATGGCCCAGTGCTACATGATTAGTTTTCACTTGAATTAATCAGATGATAAATACATGGGCTGTAGGAGTCGAGTAAACGTTCTTCTCCTCTCAAGTCATCTGTCACATTTAAGTAAATGAATTGTGATTATCTGGATATAACCAGATTGCTCTTCAAAATAATTATTCTTTTGCCCTGCGACCACAGTGGGTATTGGAAGCTAAATTAAATAGTTGTGGTGTGCTCCTTGAAAAATGACAGCTTATAATCAAACCTTTAATGCATGGTCAGATGGCTTTGGAGAAGTTTCCATTGTTATTTCAAATCACTGGATGATTCGTAGTACTTCATTCTCTTGAACGATACATGTGAATTATTAACTGTTAATAGTTTGGTTCTCTTACATTCTCAGGATAGTTCTTTGCCTTCTGGCAAGTTACAAATTGTTTATTGGGATCAAAATAGATTGTAAATTAGATAGAGGTTTCCAGTTTCAAATGTCTCCAACCCCTGATTGATTTAGTGGGATTCCCAGTACAAGATACAGGTCCTGACTCTCTAGTTTCCAAAAGCCGCTTTTTTTTTTTCAGTGAAGTTATATGATGGTGGTTATTTGGAAGAATAGCTGCTTTATTTCAATGTTACTCCCTGTGACTTAGGTCCAGCTTTAACTGATTGTGCTGATAGTTTCAGTACCTGTCTAGAACATGGCATTGGGTAGAAGAATCTCATACTCTTAGTTATAAGTAGGACCACTGGTCTCAAGCCCTTTGGTGCATTGTCGTGCACCCTTTCAGGGAAGGTTCCTCGTTCATTTTATATTGGAATGCCATTTTGTGATGCTGGTTTTGTCAGTAGTTGGTTTAATTTTGTATTGTCAAAGATAGTTTTATTTTGACTTAACTACCACTCGTGTACTGTCATCCATTTGCTCCCAGTTATCTGTTGCACTGCTGTGTCTTCGTAGGTGTATGTTTCATCTGATTTGTTTTTCTTTCTTACGGGTCATGCTTCACAGCATGCCTACTATATCAAGGATTGTGTGGACTGGGGAGGACTGCAAGTAGACTGCTTGGCTCTTCCATAGTGATGCAGCTTTTACAACACTCGATAGATGGGCAGGTTCTACAGAACTCTGAAATAAGTCTGGGAAACATAAGTGTTTCATCTGTGTAATTTTAGGCAAGTCATTGAACTTTCTAGTCCCAGATTCTTTGATAAAAGTACCTTGAACTTAGCATTCTTTATAACTCCCCCAAATCATCCTATGGCAGTGGCTAGTCTCCTCCCATTTTAACATCCTAGCCCATCAAGATAACATGTTTTATGCCTTGGTTGTCATCTAATCTGCCATACAACTTAGTTTCTTCAATTGTGTCTTTGTCATCATCCTCAATTGTGTCCTTTGTTGTTTGTGCTGACAGGAACCTGCAGAAATGGAAATACATAAAAAAGACTTTGATTTCAAGGTCACAGGGAGTCTTATTTCTTTAGCCCTATATTTACATATTTTGCAAAACTTTTAAACTGTTAACGTTTACTACTTTAAGAGTCTTTCAACCTTACAGAGTTGCTTAGGAGAGGAGATGTAACTCAAAGGCAGATAGTAGGAATAATGTGTGTACACACATGTAATCTTCAGGTAAGGAACGACTACAAGGTACTCATCAGCAATAGTATGCTAATTGTATTAAAGTAGGCATAATCCTGGGATATAGGGCCTACAATACATCTTAGGAATTGAATTGATACTCAGATGTTTACCATTTGTCAAAGCCTGTCTTAGATAGCAGCTTCTATGTTCTATATAATTTAAAGATAAGGTTAATTTAATAATTTTGACTTCTGGGATTACTCAAATGCTCGAAAGGATTAGAAAGTAGAGACCTATGAAGAAACATGAGTTTACTATGAGGACAGAAAAATTATCTTGGTGAATTCTTGAAGGAAATACAGCATGTTTGTTTATTTACAGCCATAATTTAAAATGGGCTTGTGAATTATGTAATCTATAGACTCTTGCCACTTTATGATTTTTAGGAATTTTATATTTGCCGAAGTCATCAGTTTTAGAGAGGTTTTTGTTTTACTAAGGATTGTTTAAGAATTTCTTGCCCCCCCCCCTTTTTATCCCCCTTCCCAAGGCAAATGAAAAAAAAGTTGACCAGCCTCCAGAAGCTAAAAAACCCAAAATAAAGGTGGTGAATGTTGAGCTACCTATTGAAGCCAACTTGGTCTGGCAGTTAGGGAAAGACCTGCTTAACATGTATATTGAGACAGAGGTAAGTACTTTAATTAAATGTTTCTATTTTGGAATATTTAGTTTCTTGGCCCTGTTGCCCATGTTTCTAAATAGATAAGTTGCCTATAATTTAATTTGTTTTCATCCTTACTTAGATCTATAGTGACCTTATACATGGGTCAGTATTTCAATGTGAGGCAATCATTTAACCATATGTAGAAAAGCAAAATTATATTTAGTGGATTTTTGAAATGTGAAAGCTATACAATTTATTACATGATGTTAAATTTTTAAAAAAGCTTCAGAATGTGCATCTAGAAAATGAAGATCTTTATAGGATTTGTAACAAGAGTTTTATGTGAGGTATAAATTAGAATTGTTAACACTAATTTGTTCTGTTATGATCACTGTTTTTTTCTTGTTGTTGTTGTTAAAATTGAGTTGAGTTATTGGAAGAGTGGAATAACTTGTCTGTTTCCTATCAGGGGAAGATGATAATGCAAGATAAATTGGAAAAAGAAAGGAATGATGCTAAAAACGCAGTGGAGGAATATGTGTATGAGTTCAGAGACAAGCTTTGTGGACCATATGAGAAATTCATGTGTGAACAGGTATGTGTGAGAGCTCTGTTTTTATTCAGGTATTCTGATAGAAGGTGTTTAATATCAAGTTTGGCATTTAAGTTTCTACTTGATTATGTAACTGGAACTTTTTGAAAACAGATAGCAAACTCATGGAGGAAGAGGCTTGCCTAGTGGCTGAGTGGTTTGGTTTTAGTGTACCGTAATAACTCCTTGTTTTTATCATCAGAAGAGACAGAGCTTACAGCATAGGGCATCACAGTCATGGGGGCTACAAAGACAAATCAAAGAAAATCCTTGCTTTCAAAGACCTCAGGCTTTGTTTTCGGATGCTGCTCCCTTGGTGACTTTCTGTTCTCCCGTAAGACTTGTTCATCCTGTCATTCCAGAACTTATCAAGCCCTGTTACTCTCTTGGCCCTTTTCATGACTCCCATTTGATAGGGGTCTGAGTAAATTCCAGAAGCACAATTATGAAAGATAGGACTTGGAAAAAAAAATTTGGCTAAAAATTTAGGGTAGTTTAGGGATTAATTCTGAAGTTAAAGATTATTTATTCAGAGTCAGTTTTAGTCCGAAATTTTCAGTCTATCTTATAACATGGTTCATTTCTTAACTCTGACCTGACCAGTCCTGAGTTTTTTATGGTTGGGATTCTACAGTAGCGATGGCCCAAGCAAGATAGCTTCCCCCAAAGCTAGAGTAAAGGTACATACATACCTTAGATGAATTGGTTGGGAACGACTCTTTTTCTGTGTTCTGTGTTCTGTGATTGGATTTGTCAGCCTGTATAGTTATTTTTTTGGTATTTGATAGTTGTGGAAGTGTAAAAAAGTAACTAAGACCTAATTGGTTTGGAGAGTATGAAAATAATTGCTCTTTAACCATATTTCAGTGTTTAAGTTGTCCACAAATGGCCATCTAAGATAAGGTATTATAATATTGTAAGTCAATAAGAACAATTTTTCAGAAACTCTGAAATGTCATCATAGCAAGACAGAGAAGACAAAGAATGCCTGTCAGTCCCTCTTGTGAAAGTATTGTCTGGAGCTAATAAATAGTAGAGCTTTACTTGCTCATTGATTTATTTTTTTTAAAGTGGAGAGAATCCAGCTCATCAAAGTGTCGTCTTAGACAAGATTAGCTACCTAGTGTTTCACACTTTTGAGAATGCCTCATTTTGTTGTGAACACTTCTTTTTTTGAAGTAAAATTGCCACTAACTTGTCATATTTCACATTAAGGATCATCAGAATTTTTTGAGACTCCTCACAGAGACTGAAGACTGGCTCTATGAAGAAGGAGAAGACCAAGCTAAACAAGCTTATGTGGACAAGTTGGAGCAGTTAATGGTGGGCACTTCTCTACCCCTCACAGGTGGGACTTGTGTTTTAAACTACAGACTTAAAATTATAACGATAGATTTATTACATGTTGTTTTAGAAAATTGGCACCCCAGTTAAAGTTCGATTTCAAGAAGCTGAAGAACGGCCAAAAATGTTTGAAGAACTAGGACAGAGGCTGCAGCACTATGCCAAGATAGCAGCTGACTTCAGAAATAAGGTAAGTCAGTCTGTTTGTAGATTGTAAGGAAATTTTGCCTAGACATTAATGCGTTAATAACATTTAAGTTGAGGAATCTTCTGGATTTTTTTTTTTTGAGACAAGGGTCTTAACTCTGTTGCCCAGGAGTAGAGTGCCATAGGCATCAGCCTAGCTCACAGCAACCTCAAACTGAGTTCAGTGATCTTGCTTCAGCCACCTAGTAACTGAGACTAGGTGCCTGCTACAGCACTAGCTAATTTCTTTTTCTGTTTTTGTTAGAGATGGGATTTCACTCTTGCTCAGGCTGATCTCAGCTTTGTGAGCTCAAGTGATCCTCCCTCCTGGCCTCCCAGAATGCTAGGATTATCGGCGTGGGCTGCCATGCCCAGCTTGCATCACTGAATAGTCTTAAGTGGGAAATTTGAGGCTGAAGGTAGATTTGCACTATGTGCAAAGTTGGGTCAAATTACATGTGACTGTTAAGTACTACATTCTACAGAATGACCTTGTTTTCTCTGTTCAGGATGAGAAATACAACCATATTGATGAGTCTGAAATGAAAAAAGTTGAGAAATCTGTTAATGAAGTGATGGAGTGGATGAATAATGTCATGAATGCTCAGGCTAAAAAGAGTCTCGATCAGGATCCAGTTGTGCGTGCTCAGGAAATTAGAGCAAAGATCAAGGTGAGTGTTGCTGCTGGCTCTCTAATGGGTTAGACTTACAATCATTTGAACTTCAAACAACCATTTTTCCTGTGAATCTTTTCACCTCATTCTGGCTGATAGCAACATTCTTACTTTATAATCAGATGATCTGGTAAGTTCCTCTTGATTTTTCACATTATTTATTCATTCACTTCAACAGATTTGTGGAGCACCTGTCATGTCCCAGCTACTTTTCTCTGGGTTAAACATTCAGTGTTCAAAAGTCCCTGTGCCTGTGGAATTCACATTCTAGTGGAAGGGAGATCAATAATAAACAAGTGTGTAACATTTATCAGATGTGGTGTTAGTGCTGTGGAGAAAACTAAAGTAGGGTAAAAGGGCTTAGGGAATTCTAGGCTGTGGAGTGGAGCCAGCTGGTATTTATTAAGGAAGAACTTGATGAATTTGTGAAGCTTGAAGAAAGTTGAAAATGCTTTCTGTCTGGAATAATACTCGGATAGTGAAGGTCAAAGAAAAGTGTCCTGAACTTTTAAGCTACTACCAGTTTCATGCTATAAACTTGAATTCCAGCTCTTTGCTCAGTAGCTCTTTGCTTTAGGACTCTGCAAGTCCTGATCTTGAAGTTAACTTTATTGAACAATTTTCTTTTTTTTTTTTTTTTTTGAG